AAATTTAGAACAATGCTCTTGTTTCATTTTTTTTAAAAAAGCGATGGGTTTGGATGTACCGAGCGATAGAAATGATGCTTTTTTTCGAGTATTTAGGTCGTGATATTTTCAATTTGCAATTTTTTTTTTCGAAAAACTAAAACAACAGCATTATTCTTTAGATTTTTATCTTTTATTATTTTCTAATCCGGTCAAAAAATATTACAAAATAAGTGAGTTCTCGTCTCAGGAAATTAACCCTTTTTCTCAATTTTTAACGGCTTGTTGTTGGCCTCTTAATCAGATAAACAAATGTACCTACTGGCTTTTTTGGCTATTTTCACAATGTGGTTTTCCCATTTCAAGTCGGATGTTACTAGGACTCCGAGATCATTCGGCTCAGTGACAGTTGTAAGTTGTAAGTATGCTGTGTCGTTCAGAGTATATTCTTCATTGGGATTGTTTGGGCCGATTCTAAGCATTGTGTATTTTGCCTCGTTGAGTTTCATACCCCAAAACTTAGCTGTAAACTGCTGTGGAATGTGAAATCTAATCAGTTAGAGGTAGAGGTAGGTCATGTAAGCCCATCTAGCAACAATGAAACTCCTTTGGTAGGGTGGACATTTTGACTTATAAATCTTACACACAAAACTACCAGAATGAAGGATCTATATTCGTATTTCAATATATCATGCGCAACATATACAGGTGAAATATGAAAGAATTTATTTATACAGCAAATACTTGAATGCCAGGGTGTCCGAAAAAATAGCGTAAAAGCTCTCCACTACGTAGTAGGGGATCCTTTGAGTAATCCTAGAAAAATAATTTGAAAAATCCTTCTCGACCATTCTTGGTGAAGTAAAAAAGTGAATGTGGAAATTCAACTCCCTTATTTTTCATTTTTTTTTTTCAAGTTCCAATATTTCGTGCAGTGTTGGGTATCTTTTGTTGATTCATAACATAGTTGCTGGTATCCTTGTAGCTTGAGCAATTAAAGTATAAAGTTACCTCTATCGAGCGGTAAATTCAACTTACCGCCCGCGTTTGCGAGCGATAAGTTGATCTTACCGTCTTTTTTAGAAGATTGATAAATCAGCTAAAATTATTTATTATATTCACCCAAGAACTATACCTACACATTATTATTACCAAAATCGGTGTGCATTGAAAATATAAAAGTTGTTGATTTTTGAAAGATTTACAAATACAGAAGTTGCTAATTTTTTAGTGGAAGCGTGCCTTTACATAAAGGGGAAGACTGTTTATTTTTGAAAAAAAATGTCCAAAGGATGCCATTATATACTCCTGGACAAAATTATCGCACCACTGCTTATGGTGCTTATGTGCAGTGGTGGTGCGATAATTTTGTCCAGGAGTATATTATAGGTACCTATAGTTATTTCATTTTTGAACTAGAAGAGTCCGCTGTGCATAAAACGTAATAAGTATTTTGGTTTGGGCGTTAAGTGTCGTTAATCACATTCTCGGGCGGTAAATGACACTATCTGCCATTAATACCTAAATAACTATTAACTATCTACCAAAAGTAGCTTGAAATATTATGATAAATCTAGATGTCTAAAGTTAACATTATTATTTTTAAAAAAATTACATGAGAGACCTAAGAAGGGACTTTCGCGTTTCTCCTTATAACTATTGAAGATAAACCGAGAGATAAACATATCAAACCATATAGAGTAAAAATCAAACGAGAAGAAGCCACTGTCGTTGGCGCTAACAAAGAAAGCAGATTTCCTTTTCTTTGGGTCCTTCCTATTTAAAGTGAGACAAACGATAACGCGTGTGGCTTCTTCTCGTTTGATTTCTACTCTATCGTTGAAATCAGGTTAAAGGCAACTAACAAATAAGCTCACAATATACAGGGTGTTCCATTTAAAAAAATGTAACTGTTGCACTGTTGCACTTTTTTGACGCACCCCGTGTGCCTAAAACTGACTGAAGCCTGTATGACATCTGTGTATTTTTCCGTGAATTTCTTCATGTATTTCAGGGTGACAACTGAAAAGCTTCAAACGCAACATAAATCAGCATTATGAAAAACAAAATAATGTTGGCACCCTGAACTACATGAAGAAATACACGGAAAAATACACAAATGTAATACGGGCTTTAGTTAAAAACTTTTGACAATTTTTTAAAACTTTTTTATTTGACACTTTTGTCAAAAACGTCAAATGAGAAAGTTAGCAGGGGGTGACATTTATAATAGATCACCCTGTACACCACATTATCGAAGCCATTTCATAATCTATGAATGCCATGTATGACAGGATTTGCCATTCGTTAGCTTTTTCAATCACCCAGTATTTTCATGGTCAGATAATAGCCCCTTATACTGGAGCTCTTTATTGAGTTGTCTAACTTAAATGATAATCTGGTAGGGTTTTTAAATCATTTCTGTCTCCTTTTTTTTATAATTTCAATTACATCATTATTGGTTGGTTTCAGTTGCTGGGCATCTGCTTTGTGTTTAAACGTTTGTTATGGTTCGTATCGTTAAGTATAGTATATGTAATTTTCTTTACAGGAGTTATGGGTTATAAACTGACCACCAATTATAGAACACTTCATATACACGCACAGGAAAACTAGATCACCCTGTATAAATGGAATTTACTGTTATGAGAGGTTGCAGCCTCTGCATCAAACAAATCAACTTTCATATTCTCCTTTTAGTTTGACATTTTTTCGGATGGATTTATTTCCATACAATATTTCGCCTGTTCTCTTCCCTTGATGTTGTAGTTTTCTTCTTTCATCCATTAGGTAGGTCTTCTTAAGAGATAATTCATATTAATCTCCTGGACTAAGTCTGCTGTCATTCATTTCAATGCATTTAATTCGTAATTTGACATCGAATTCACATAATAGTACAAGAGCTAACACGATACTGTCCCAGTTACTTTTGGTGACGATGGTACTTAATCAATTTGTCCATTTTCTAAAGTCTTTGTTGTAATTGTGCTAGTTAAGTCTGTCATAATTTTTGTGTTCTTGTCATGCATTAGTTCGCAAACGGAGTCACTTATATCAACGGACCCGCTCATTATATTTTTCCATTCATTTTTCGGTACACAGGCGCGATTGGCGAACTTTTTCCTGATAGAATGTTCCATCATGATTCATGGATACCATACCACAAAAAGAAGCGCATAATACCTACCTATATCCTATTCACAATCTGTAGTCCAAAGGTACAGGTAAATTTATCACCTTTACCTGTACCTTTGGACTACAGATTGTGAATATATGATGAATTAAATCTACGATAACACTTTTATTTCAAGTTATGACTTCTTCGATGTCAAAAATATAGAGCCTTGTGAAACGATCTATAAAGTCTGTTTTTTTTAAAAGATAAAAGTCAAAATGACATTATGTTGGCAATACAATGAAAAATTGTAAATGTTTTCAATTTTTTTATGTAGAAAAGGCTTGTGTTGTCAACATAGTTAAAATCTGTTTTTTTTTTAAAGATAAAAGTCAAAATGACATTATGTTGGCAATACAATGTAAAATTGTCAATCTTTCAAATTTTTTATGTAGAAAAGGCTTGTGTTGCCAACATAGTTACTAAGTAAAGTACCTTTATATGAAATTTCCTATGTGCCAGTTTCTCAATAGCAAGTCAGTTGGTTTTAACTCCAGGGTAAGCGTGTCCAGTTGCGCTATGTTAACCCCCGGAGTTATTCTTAACCCCGAGGTTGACTCGCTATTGAGAAACCGCCCCGCCCCTATAAAAGTTAAAGGTAGTACAATTACTTTTTTGCCACTCTGTATATCGGTAAAGTCTGTTTTTTTTAAAGATAATTCCCCAAGTCAAAAATTTAGTAACTATGTTGGCAAAACAAGCCTTTTCTACATAAAAATTTGAAAGCATTGACAATTTTACATTGTATTGCCAACATATTGTCACTTTGACTTTTATCTTTAAAAAAAAAAACAGATTTTACTATTTCAGCCAGCCAAACAAAAAATTGTAATCGTCAATTTCAAAAATGACAAATAACTTCAACAAGTAACACAAAAATTTTCAGTTTAACTAAATCTCCTGTATTCATTATTTGATCAAATTATGCAACATTATTGTTCAAGTTTCACATGCAATCCCAAATTCCAGATAACAGCTCTACAAACCCAATTTTTTTACCCAACTATCTACTAGGAAATGATCCTGATCCACATACTTATCCTGCTATTCCAGCAAGACCTCCTAGGGACATTACAATACCAGGGAGTTTTGAATCAGCTGCAAATGTGATTAAAGGCAGAAGTTTACGTCAAAAACTGTTTAATAAATCATTAACCAAGATACTAACCCAACCCTCACCTTTTTTTTTATGTGAGAAAGCTGCGCCAGTTGGTCCGCCAAAAATAGGTTTATTTGATACAATTAAAAAGCCTTTGGCCTGCTTTGGCCTTGCTGAGCCTACCACATTCAACAATGATATATCAATAATCCTTCCCAAAGAAACCCTTAATTCAAGAAAATGCCTTGGAAAGAACAATTCTCATTGGGTTACTGTATTTGGTTTTCCATCAACTGCACTAAATATTGTACTCGCCCTACTATCAACCTGTGGAACAATTATGCAAAAAAAACATCCACAAGGAAATTGGGTTCATATTAGATTTAGAAATTTCAATGAAGTTGCCAAAGCTCTTTCACTAAATGGAAAACTTATTTATAAAAATGTAATGATTGGAGTTCAGTTGCATTATCCAAGCGAAACTAAGAAAACTATGGTGCCATCACCTATAAAAGCAAAATCTCCAAGATATTTTTGTATAATAGCAACAGAGAGGAATGATAATGTAATTCCAGGTACCAATCTGCCACACAAATGTAATGGCATTGTTGGTAATACATTAGACTATGTGTTTGGTTGGTGATTTTTTTTTTTTCAAATTTGAAAATAAATGGGATGTTTTTCCTAATTTTCCTGTCGTTTTAGAATGAGTTTCTTTGTATTGCAATAGGCTCAAATTTGTATATTTTGTATATAGCGGATTATAAATCCAATAAAACTTATATGAAATCTGGAACAATATTATTGAAAATCATATAAAATAAGGTAGCTATCGTGAGCTTTAGAACGAGACATAAATTTAGTTTGTCTGTGACACTTATACTTAGGCTTAGTTTCACAATAATTATTGGTGGTAACCTGCACTGGTTTTCAAACTCATAGTTGCGGATTGGCCATTAGTTCGCAAAATAAGGTTTGAGTCAAATAATCCTAAGCTTGACCAATGGTTCTTAACGTTAACATGAAAAGTACAGACCCTTTTCACATTACTGATTGTTTACATCAATGAATGTATCTTTTTTCTGTTTAAATAGTTTAAACTAAACAAAAATTTAAACATATGATTATGATTTACCGGAAAGTTTGAACAAAAGTACACAAAACGTTAACTATAGGTCTGTTCTCACAGAAATCACAAAACAAGTCAGAGCGAATTTCATTGGTTGGAAATAGTCAGAAAACTGGTTGTTAGCTATTTGCACCAATCAAAAACGCTTTGACTGGTTTGTAATTTCAGTGAAAATATCTTCAATATCAAGTAAATTCTTTGTGCCCACTGCAAAGATGGGAAGTGACTAGTGAGGTATTTTTGTTTAGTTGTTTTTCTACGAAACTCTAGAGAATATCATGTGAGTACTTTAATAAATCATCAAGTGAAAAGAAAAAGTTGCCCCACGATTATCACATGGTTCTAGAAAATTTTCGTTCGGGCATGCTAAAAAACTGCAACCCAATCAAATAAAACTTTCAATTCGCCAAAGTAATCCAATTGAAACATATTGACCTTAATATTGACCAATAGTTCATATTGTCGAGTGTGTTGCTGTTCACGTTATTAAGTACCCAATATACAAAGTATTGTGTTCACAAAACTGCGTTGTTCACTTATATGAGTGTTCATATTATAGAGCGTGTACTGTATTCACATTTATTACATAGCCAGAAGTTGAAATTATGTCCAAGAAAAATGAAATAATTCTAATTTAAATTTCCTATATTATTTTTTTTAAATAAATATTGTAGCAAAACGAGAAAATTAAAAAATAACGAGTGGAGGTAAATTTTATAATAAATCTACCATCTACCCTAATTACATCTAAATTTATAAATATGTTCTTTATTATAAACGTACAATCAGGTATTTAAATAATCATTTTATTTTTTGATGTTTATTTGGAAAGTTATTTTGACCACTCTATGTACAGGTCTGATAACTCAGCATCTTACGGGCCAATTTTAATGACATAGAATGAAAAGTCTACAAAAGCCTAAGGTTAAATAGAGAACAAAAACGATTTCCCCTGTTCCACCTACAGCATGCAGCGCTGGAAATGCTGGAGGTATCCTTTTTGTTCTCTATTTAACCTTAAGAGTTTTTCTAGACATTTCATTCTATTGCATTAAAATTGACTCATTGCATCTAATATAATAAAGATCTTACCTTGCAAACTAGGGCAATGAAATGAATAATTTATAATGAAAAATCTTCTTTTCACATATTAGGTATCAGTTATCATTATTATTATCGCTATTTTATTTTGATACAATATTATCCATCTACTTTATAAACAAAAATTCCTGAATTAGGTCGAGTGGTCTAATTAGGTAAAAAATCATTATTTCCCGAAAAGTTCTGTCCATAATTTGTACGTCTATAAATAGACAAAATTGAACATCATTTAGGATCAGAAATGGTAGCGCTAGCCAGTTCAGTCATTCTAGGATATTTTACATTTTTCTTGTTCAATTTCTCTTGAGCCCACAATATAAGTTTTAATAAAGTAGATATTTTCGGTGCAGTAGGTTCTTGATGTTCCATTTTAAGTATAGCTGCATTAACTTCACTAGCCACTTTTTGCCTGTGCGATGGTGATAATAAGTCACCAAAAGGGCTGCTTAAAGGGTCTTCAAATGCTAATAAAGCAATTGTTCTTTCTAGTTCGGTTAAAACAGCTTGATTATCTTCACCAGCTTCACTCAAATGACTTTGAGCAAAAGACAAGGCTTCTTCTATGCGGTTATTTCTTATGAGTTCTATAAGATGAAGTTGCTAAAACATAGAATTATTGTAAAAAAAAAACGCTCATCACTGCCAAGGACTGTTACTTACTTGCAAATGAAAATACAAATATCTATCGTTATCCAATAGCTCAGCATGTAATTGATTTATCAATGTTGTGGCTTCTTCAATTCTGCCATTCATGATAGCATCTCTTATACGCATTCTGTCGTCCAGAGAATGAAGATTCACAGAAGGTGCTATTCCTGATTCTTGCTGGAATTTTTCAGCTGCTTCTTTGAATCCCTCTGAAATATTTGCATATAAATTACATGAAATCAAACATTTATTTATTTTTTACTTCATTTCAGATTACAGTAACATACAGGGTGAATTATTAAGCGCGCGGTGTTCCATAACTCCTATACTAACGGCGATCGGAGAAAAAAATAAGTACAAAACTTATAGATAAACATGGGTACTACATTCCGAAATTATTTTCCAGTATACAGGGTGGCCCAATAACTAGTAGTGACACAAAGTTAGGTTTTTTAAAATAACTCCCCCTGTATATTATGACATTTCTGGATTCTGCGGAAAATTCTAGACATATTTCATGTACAATGTCATATACCTATCTGCAACTGTTTCGGAAATATTGACAGTTGAAAACTGACTTTTTGGCATCTTTGACAGACTGTAGAACGTGAAGGGTTAATTTCAGAAGAAAGCTGATTTTACATGCCTATCTTAGGCCGGAGTTACCCAATTGCTTAATTCTTAATATTTGTCCTTAATTCCTAATTCTTAAAAAGTTCAATTTATTTAACATTGGTGTTTTTAGGGATTAAGAATTAAGAACAAAAATTAAGAATTAAGGAATTGGATAACCCCGGCCTTAGTTTTTCATAAACTATCATTTGGCACCAATCTTGACTTTAATCCATGATTAAAAATTCCGCCTAAATTATTAATCTTCAGTTAAATTCAAAGTTGGTGTCAAATGATAGCTTATGAAAATCTAAGATAGGAATGTGAAATCCGTTTTCCTCTAAAATTAACCAATTAGGTTTCACAGTCTGTCAAAGATGCAAGAAAGTCAATTTTCAACTGTCAATATTTCCGAAACAGTTGAAGATAGGTATGTGACATTTTACATGAAATATGTCTAGAATTTTCCGCAGAATCCAGAAATGTCATAATATACAGGGGGAGTCATTTAAAAAAACATAACTTTGTGTCACTACTAGTTATTGGCCGCCCTGTATACTGGAAAATAATTTAGGAATGTAGTACTCATATTTATCTACAAGTTTTGTATTTAGTTTTTTCTTCGATCTACATTAGTATAGGAGATATGGACCACCGCGCGCTTAGTAACTCACCCTGTACATAAAAATATACAAATAAACCATGAAATGAAATAGCGTCACAAAAAAGACCTTACACCTAATGCTACTCAGAACAATTACATTATTTATTTTTTCTATTTTGGTGTCATATCGAAGTCTTTTCGACACTAAAAGTAGTTTCGAAAAGAAGCTCTTTGTGACACTCCTTTTTTACTTATCGCAGGTTGGTAACACTGGCTGACTGATGGCCATCGAACTGTCATTCGCGATAAAAAATAATAGAAGATTTCTATATTTGGCATGTAGTGTTACCAACCTAAACATATGAAATCAGGAAATATGAGAATAAAATTTCCAAGAAAAGTTTTTTTTTAAATTAAACAATACCAAAATAGAAAAAATAGTATAAAATATTCGTTTCATAAGACATTTTATCGCACTCGCCCTTTAGAAAACTCGCCTCCGGCTCGTTTTCTAATATAGGGCTCGTGCGATAAAATGACGTCTTATGAAACTTGTATTTTAATGTACTATTATATCCAGTTATATACAGGGTGTCCATTTAGTGCGATATCGGACGATATCTCCTTACAGGGTGATGCAAGAAGAAAAAGTTAAATTACAAAGTTGTTTGATATTCGAATATGCATTAGTTTAAAATATTTTTGAATATACAGGGTGCTCCGTTTATGGGGTATGCGACAGAACTTTCCTATTTTAAATGGAACACCCTGTATGTAATTGCATATTTGGATTCTACGTAAAATTTTGAGCAGATTTCATAAAATACACCCTATACCCAAGTTCATCTGTTTTGGAAATATTGACAGTTGAAAATTGACTTTTTGCAACTTTGACAAGCCGTTAAACCTAAACGGTTAATTTTAGAGGAAAACCGATTTTTCATTCCTATCTTAGATTTTCATAACCTATCATTTGACCCCAACTTTGAAATTTAGCTGGAATTTTTAATCATGGATTAAATTCAAAGTTGGTGTCAAATGATAGTTCATGAAAATCTAAGATAGGAATGTAAAATCGGTTTTCCTCTAAAATTAACCGTTTAGGTTTTACAGCCTGTCAAACTTGCAAAAAGTCAATTTTCAACTGTCAATATTTCCTAAATAGTTGAACTTAGGTATAGGGTATATTACATGAAATCTGCTCAGAATTTTACGTAGAATTCAAATATGCACTCAGATACAGGGTGCTCCTTTTGAAAAACCAAAGTTCTGTCGCATACCCATAAACGGAGCACCCTGTATATTCAAAAATATTTTTAGCTAATGCATATTAGAATATCAAACAACTTTGTAATTTAACTTTTTCTTCTTGCATCACCCTGTAAGGAGATATCGTCCGATATCGCACTAAGTGGACACCCTGTATAATTCAAATATTCTTGTATACTATATGGTTCCAACTCAATACGTATTTTTTTCAGTTCACATTTTTTTCTTGTGTCATTATTTTTAATTCATTGTTTAGTGTATTGATGAAAAGTTTTATTCCCATGTAACATGGACTTTTTTCCAATAGTGTTAACCTGTGCCTCGGAAAACAAATATTATTTGCTCTAGTGTTATAATTATGACTAGCATCAATAGCATCAAACAATTGCATATTCTTGAAAGTAAATAAAATTGTCTCATAGATAATATAGAGTGTAAATTGTCATTATCCCTTTTTCCCTAAATATTCCCCTACACAATTGTAGGGGGGACATTTTATACATTGTTCATTGTTCGCTTTTGAATAACAAATATATTTTGTGCCCTATAGCTGGATGCCCAAAAAATTATACTGTATCTAGCTGTATCTTCAAAATTTGCAAAATACAGTGTTCTACGCGATTTCTCATTCATATACCTTGAAACAGTGCGAATGCAAAAACAAATGCTATTCAACTTATTTTCCAGGCGCCCAATATGGAAAGACCAGTCTAAATGTTCATCCACATGTACACCCAAAAATTTGGTATCTTTTTTTAATGTAATTTGATTTGCGTTGACTGAAATATATTCAGGTTTCTCTGTTCTGTTTAACTTGGTTCTGAATAGAATAGCATTTATCTTCCCTGTGTTTAGGCATTATTTATTTTTCTTGAATCAATTTTCAGTAAGAGGTCATCCGCATATTCTGTTGGTTTATAATCAATATCTGAGCAGTTTGTGTTGTTGATGTCATTCATAAAAATTATGAATAAAATCGGCCCCAGTATGCTGCCTTGGGAACCCCTACTGTATTTTTTCTATTTTGGTGTCATATCGAAGTCTTTTCGACACTAAAAGTAGTTTCGAAAAGAAGCTCTTTGTGACACTCCTTTTTTACTTATCGGAGGTTGGTAACACTGGCTGACTGATGGCCATCGAACTGTCATTCGTGATAAAAAATAATAGAAGATTTCTATATTTGGCATGTAGTGTTACCAACCTAAACATATGAAATCAGGAATTATGAGAATAAAATTTCCAAGAAAAGTTTTTTTTTTTAAATTAAACAATACCAAAATAGAAAAAATAGTATAAAATATTTGTTTCATAAGACAAAAAAACAATAAAAAATACCCATGTAAAAAAAAACATATTAAATAGGTAGTATATAATAAAAAGGAACCTGGTAATTAGAAACATAGAACGATTACCGATTGAGTTTGGTTTGTAACTGAAGCAATAGAACCATCTTTGATACAAGGATTGGTCTAGAAAGATAATTTAATAGTTTAAAGCAGCATATAAAATTAAATAAATTTAAAAAAACATATCATGAAAATTCAAAATAAAAAGTCTAAATACTCTTCCACAGAATAGAAGGCTTTCTTTGCAAAAATGTTTTTAAGTTCTTCACGGAATTTGGCTACATCGGGAATATTTATAATAGCTGTAGGAAGGTGATTATATAATTTGATGGCAGTATAGATGATAGAGTTTCTAACAAGCGTAGAATGTGGAATTGGAAGTGGTATGGTATGTCTTTGACGTGTACTATGAGAGCTTTGATGCGCAGGAAAATGAGATTTGTGTTTGTGAACAAGAGTGACCGATTCCAGGACAAAGAGAGACGGAAGAGTTAAAATATTGTAAGAAACAAATAAAGGTTTACAGTGGTTTCGCGGCGACGCATCAACAATAAATCGAACTGCACGATTTTGAATTCTGACGACTGATTCTAAGAGGTAGCGGAAGCAACAGCCCCAAAAAGATAAACCGTAAGAAAGATGAGAGTGGACAACTGCATAGTAAACGGATTTGGCGATAGGGACGTTAAGGTTTCCAGCAACAATTCTAACGCAGAAACAGCCAGACACGAGCTTCTTATCAAGTGCTATAATATGACATCGAAAATTGAGATCGGCATCTAACTGGAGGCCGAGAAACTTGGTGTTTTGCGAAGGTTTAACTGTAAACTGCTCACAATCAATGTGGTCGATATTACATCGAAAACCAATTACTTGGGTTTTAGTAAAGTTGAGCAGAAGCCCATTTGCATCGCACCATGCCTTAACAGCACTGATGTCCCTTGAGATGATCAGGACCAGCTCCGCAGTCGTCCTCCGATGCCACACAATCGTTGCATCATCCGCAAACACAGCAAACACCCCCGAGATTCCCAGATGTAGTAAGTCATTTATATAAATGAGAAAAAGGATTGGTCCTAGGACTGATCCTTGCGGCACTCCATAGCTAATCTGCTGCTCAGAGGAGAATTCGCCATTTGCCGTGCCACTCTGGCTTCGACCAGACAAATATGATCTAAACCATTCCAATGCTTCTCCACGGAACCCATAGACCTCCATCTTTCTCAGCAGCGTCCCGTGACTCACACAGTCGAAAGCCTTGGAGAAGTCACAGAATGCTCCTGTCTGCCTAAAATGCCTAAAGAGTTTTTCCATGACATGGAACATGGCATCATGGGTGCCTTTCCTTGGTAGGAAGCCAAATTGAGCAGGATTTAATATGTTATGCTCAGATAAGAAGTCCATTATGCGTTTTTTACGAGCTTTTCAATTACTTTTGATATGGTAGAGAGCAAAGATATTGGTCGGTAATTTGACTGATCTTTGATATCACCGTTCTTGTGGGTTGGGACTTGGGACTACCAATGCCTGTTTCAGAGTGGTTGGAAAGGAGCGAGAAGTAAAGGAGATGTTAATTGCAGATGCTAGAACATGTAAGGCCTGATTTGGAAGTTCTTTAAAAATCTTTATTGAAATGCCATCTGATCCTGCTGCCGTTTGGTTTTTCAAAGTAGATTTTATTTCTTGAACATCTGTAGGTGAAAATGTAAATGATTCATTGACTCGCAAACTTTCAACATATCCAATCGGATCGACATTCGATTTTGGGGATGGAGTAAGTTCATTGGCAACATTGCAGTAGAAGTTGTTTATTATATCAGGTATGATATCGATTTCCTGTGGCTTTGTGCTACTTTTTCCTGTAACTTCTCTGACAATGCTCCATGTTTCCTTGGACTTATTTGTCGCATTGGTTAGACGATTAGAATAAAAAGACTGCTTTGCCAGATGAATCAATTTTCTGTATTGTTTCCGGTAATTGGAATAATAATGTTGAATAAAAGGAGTATTAAGGGTAGTGTTTTCTTATAACATTGAAAGACCTCAAGTTAGCTGCAGATATTTTGATGCCCTTTGTCTACCAGTGCTTTTTATAACTCTTTTTACGAAGGGGCCTTAGTGGAAAAGATTCACTTATTAGGTTATTTACTACGAGAAGAAATTTTTCAAAGGGATTTCCCTTAGAAAGAATGGGTTGCCAAAGTGTCCTGGTTGAGATCTGCTTAAAAATGCAAAAGTTTTTTTTGCTAAATATTCTGCCATGTTTTCTGTAAGAGCTGTTATGTTTGAATTTTAGAGGCAATGACTTTACAATGGCATGATGATCAGAGAGGGCAGGGTCAACGACACGGCACTCGAGGTCAGAATCAAGGTTTGAGCAAACATAGTCGATTATGGTAGATGTTATTTCTGTGATTCTTGTAGGTTCCTTAACGTGCATTCTCAGATTGAATGATTCCATGAGGTCAAGTAAAACAATGGTAGAATATGCTTCAGGATCCCCAAAGTCAATATTTAGATCTCCTGCAACTATCATTTTAGAGTTTGATGGCATGCTTGACAAAAGAATTTCAAAATTATCAATGAAACTTGAGACATTACTATCTGGTGTGGGATAAATGCACAAAATATACGTATTAAGAGTTTTTGAGTACAGCAACGAAAATTCAAATATTTTTTTCAGATATTAAAAAGTCAAACCTATCACAGTTATGAAAAATCTGACCTTGATGAAAATTCAGAACTTATGAGTATGGTAGTTTCTCTGTTATTAGAGGAAGTTCTACAAAATTGTGACAAAATGTAATAATTAGGGATGAAAAAGGGTTCTCCCTCCTTAAGCCAGTGTTCAGTTAGAAGAACTAGATGGGGATGGTTTTCGTTTTCCAGGAATACATATAACTCATCAGTTTTATTCCTCACTGACTGTATGTTTAAGAGCATCAGTGAAACATGGTCTAAGCTGTTTGGGGATGACCCTTTATTTGTGTCATCTTTCCCCCTAAAAAAGAACAATTCAGGTTCATATTGCTTCCGTTACAGCTAGTATTTAGTTCATCAAATAAACCTATCGACTGGGATGAAGTACCTAAACCAAAAGACATCCCAGTCCTATCCAAAGTCTGGGGAGACATAGAATTCTGGGAACTGTCGGTCAGCAATATAGATTGGTTCCTCGATTGGTTCACTTGAGTCGAGATTTGAGTCAATTTAGAGACTGGACCAGTTTTTTTGTTTATTAGTTCACTCTGCAATACACTGAGTTGGATTGATTCAGCAATCATTTTGCCAATCAACCAGTTCCTTACCTTAATACCATGGTTGATATTGATATTTATAAAATCAAAAGATTTATCAGAAGTGGTGTAATATGTGTTAATGAATTTGTTTGAGATAGTTATTAAATTGTTGTATGAGATTGTTGCTGTTTTGGCTCTTTATTGTGCTGGGACATGCTAAAAATATGAAATTTGTGTTTGAACATACTCCTATTTTCTCATTAATTTTATGGAACTTAGGCCTACTTCCAATTAAAAAATCATTTGAGCCAGCAACAACAACCACATAGTCATCAGAATTATAGTCCCTAACAGTCCTTTCAAGACTCTCCAAAACACTGTCATAATGAGCATCAGGTTTGATTACACATTCCACCCTGTACTTGCCATTGTCCAGATGCTTCAGAATATTGTGGTCCAAGTTCTTTCCATGTTGGTCGAATAGAATAAGAAGTTTCCTATCATGTCTGCTTCCGATTTGCACAGTAATCCGATTTAAAGGGCTGGCAAAGCACTTGTCAGGAAGGTCTATCAGTTGACTAGAACCCTTATTTATCTCTTCTCTGAGGCTGCTAATATTTTTTTTTTTTTTTTTTTTTTTTTTTTTTTTTTTTTTTTATTTTAGCAAAAACAGCTACAATATTAACAACAATAATAATAACAGTACTTACAATATAACAATAACAATAATAATACCAAGATGGTACAGAATATACATTTTTGCTAGCTTTTTTGGCATACGATGGTATTAAAAAATACTGTGTGTATGCCCATACAATTAAATTACATAAATAGCATTACAATAGAGGTCATATAATGTGACTATGCACAATAGAGAAACGAAGGAAAAGTCACCTATGAGAATCATCATATCACAGCAAGAGAGATAATCTTATATAATGTATTTAATAATATACTTAGAATCTATCAACCATTGGGTTATTTGTTTTTTAATTTTATAATATGGTTTTGTTTTAAAAATATTGGGCAAGTCATTATAGATTTTCGGGCCAACAGCATAGATGTGATTCTGTGCAGCTGCATGTTTGGGGTTTTGCATTATAAGATTAAGATCGGCATGTCTTGTGTTAATACCATGATTAATATTCATTTTAAAACAATTGTTTTTTAGCATATACCTTATGACTGATTTTATAAATAGTTGGTTTGGCGCTAATAATCCGCTCTCACTATACACTAAGTGTGTGGGATGTCTTATTTTTTTAAACAGCATAACTTTAATGACCCATTTTTGTGCTATATTCAGTTGCATCATTATTGTGGATCCTGTATTACCCCAGACCACTAGTCCATAATTTATTATTGATTCTATCAAAGCATAGTATACAGATTTAAGGGTTTTTAAAGGCAATATATTTCTTAGTTCGTAAAATTTGAATATGAGTCTTCTTATCTTATTCGTTACACTTTTCACTTGTTCCTTCCAATTTAACAGCTGATCAATAATTATACCCAGATATTTCAAATGGGATTTTCTTTCGATATACCTTTCACAAATACAATCATCTGTATATGTACATCCCATGTTATGAATTTTCAGATTATCAAAGGCTGGAAGATTCCTGCCCGCTAGGGAAAAGGTAACAAAGTTGGTCTTATTTATATTTAATGAGAGTAAGCTGTAGTCTAACCATATTTTAATCTTTGACAATACTCTTTCAGCCTTTGTTTTTATCGACTCCCAGTTATCTCCACTAATTATTGCGGCTGAATCATCAGCAAAACAGTAAACTTCACCTTCCCCCCCAACGGACGAAAAAATTCCATCCAAGTATACATTGAAAAGCAATGGCGAAAGCACCGTGCCCTGTGGCACACCAAACTCCATTTTATTTTTTTTACTTTCCTCACAGTCAAAAAATATGCTTTAAGTGGTCTGCATTTTGTTTTTCAAGAACACCAACTTTAGTCAACATCCTTTGGTTTCGAAGTGATAGTTCCCATAGTTCATCTTTGCAATTTAAGAGGGATTTATCAAGGTTTCGTTTATGTTCATTAACCTGTGATAAATTAGCTTGCAATCCGTCAATCGTTCCGAGCAGTTCTTCGATTCTACAATTACAGCTTTGTTCAAATTCTTCGGCTCCATTGCTGAGTACTTGTGAACCGCGCTCCTTATACCATATATTTCTATTTTTTTTAACAAAAGATCTTGATCTAATATATCAAAAGCTTTTGACAGATCCAAGAAGATACCCAAAGCCAAATTTCAAATGTATGGTGATCAGAAGAAATTTGCTAGCAAAGACTGATACAAACTGAAAATAATAAAATAATTGTGCTAGCTGAAGTGATGCAAACTCATTACCGAGTTTTATAACATAGCATTATAACATAACATGGATCGTTCAACTTGAACATCTGATCTTCATATGTACTACAATTATCAGTTTCGAAATATTTTATTTTTAGAGTCGTCTAATGAGAGGTACATACAAAAGCCCTTGGTAATGCATAGCTTTTCATTTTCAGTTCTCTTCCTGTCTTGGTAAAACAGGTAATATGGGTACCAAGCTAGGCTCATGGTCAGACAATTCCTCAGACAATTCAGACATAGCAAAAGCCAGAATCCCTAACAGACCAGAACACCTTGTTAGAGTCGCTATTTGAGTGAAAATGAACAATGAAACCAGAAGAATAGAAGAATATTGGAAAATACATGTTGAGGAATAGGACATGCATTGTATAGTTGAAGGACTCTACCAAGAAAATCAATTAAATGTAGGTCTAGAGTCAGTGTGATTAAAATTTATATTAAAATCGCAGAAGAGATTATCTAATGATATTGGGAAAGGATGACAGCAGATTTTGCTTTTTTCCGAAAACATTTAGGTGGTTCTATAGAAAATAAGGGCCGTGAAATACATTCTAACAGCCTTTTTTTCCCCTTATGCCTGATTTATATATGAAAATTGGTTAGGAAAACCAATTTTCATATATAAATGCATTTGATTCCAGTGTTATGCTTAGTTGAGGATAGGGCACAGATTTTATCTACACTAGGATATTGGTTCTTAAATCTCTGGATATAGCATAGACGGATATACCTAGTGTATAGAATAAAAATAACATAATCGAATAATTTATTAATAATGGCAGCTAAATAATATTGAATAAATAGGGCAAAATTTATCAATAATAATTATGAAAACAACAAACTTACCTGTTACTAAGTAATTCATGATCAATTTGTTCATGTTACTGCGACCTGCGTCGTTATCCTCGAGCAATTTAATCCAGTCTTCCTTTGTTGTAATTTCGTGTTTCTCTGTACTCATTGTTTAACTATTCAGTATTTATTTTGGTAATAAAAAAACAAATAAATTTGCTTTGCACAACACTTTTCGTCTTTGTTTGTGTGGAATCTGACGTGACATTGACAATTTAATTTTGACACTAAAGTTGGGGCTGCGTTCGAAAATTGGGCAATAAGCTCCTTGCAGATATTTTTATTCTATATAATTTAATTTAAAATGATCAAAAGACTTTAAAATTATCTCTCCATTTATTTTTAAACATGAATACTGACGTAATAAATGAGAGATAATACACACTACTACTGCAGGATAGTCTATCATCATAAAAGTTGTATTCCTTTCAAGAGCTTGAAACACTCGAGCTACTCGCTTCGTTGCTTAGTCGCCCCCGATTTGCAGGGAGCATATGCGTGGTGCAACAAACACTTTTCGAAAGGAATAAGCGCGTGAAGCCCCGGAGCTGTTCCGGAGCTCCTCCTAAGTGTGAAAGGAATACAACTAAAGCCTGTCTGGAACAAATCTGGAAGCCTTTCTCTACGCCAAATCACAAGTTGTGACGTAGGTAACATGTCTTTCTTGCCTTGACGTAGACAGTTTGCAGCACAGGTTATAACGGAACGAGCTCCTCGGAGTCAATGGACCTTTATCATGCAATGAACAACAAGGATAGTTTATTAAGATTTCTGCAATAATGAAAAAGACACATATAATGACGCGCGATACCTGTGTGGAATGACTTTGATTGGTTCCACTTGTCAAATTGTGCAATTTCGGTTAGAGCCGTTTTACACGGCAAAGTTTCTTTACGAAATTACTTACGAAATTGTTGCCAAAATATTTCGTAATGCCCGTATGGGCGGGTATTATAAAACTACTTTGAGAGTTAACTTGAAGTTAACTTCTGAAATTACATGTAATTCAAAAAGTTAACTTGAAGTTAACTGTCAAAGCAGTTTTATAATACCCGCCCTAAAAGGAAGTTACTTTTTCGTGGAGTCTATGAATGCGTCATTGAATTTTCTATGTAATAGATAAGGATAGACTGCTCATCGGTGAAAAAAATAATGCACTTGAAAACAGCTGGGCAAATAAAAAAAAAACAAACTTTACCTATTTATGGAAGGAAAAAACAAATTAGGCATTCCAGGTCACGTGACTTTTGACAGGTCCGCCATATTAGCTGAGGGACAAACAAAGCCTATAGATCATATTGTTTACAGTGTTTTTTGAGTTTGTGCTTCGGAATTTTTGCGTTTTTTGATTTGTTCAATAAGTTTTAAGTTGTTTTTAGTTTTTGTGAATGAATGGAATGAATGAATGAATCTTTATTTACAGTACAGTGACTAAATAACCTACAGTGGCGACAATTGCTGTCCTATTTTTGATTGGTTTCCCAGGCTGCCGCCATTTTGTTCCCGAGTTGATTTGTTTACGTTTTTCGTTTGCCCGTGTTTCCTATGTATTTTTTTATTTTCGTGTTGAATTTTAAGGATTTTTGTGTAATATATGGTTGAAAAAAACTAAAATAATTGGATTGGATAATTTATTATACATTCCATAATTATTTATTGTAAATTTTTTAAATTTATAATATAGTGAGTATTGTGCCCCTTGCCTGATACAGACTTCTATTTATACTGGTAAATATTACATTTATGTCCTATTTAATAATTTATGCATGAAAAATTAAACCATGTGTGCTGTGTGCTTCTGCCTAAGAATTTTCTACAAAGTCAATTCACAGATTATTTTCAAATTTTGAAGGATTATTTGTATTATTCAGAATAGATGATGAAAATTAGGTAATAAACTACTATTACTGTGACAACAATGCCTCAATTATCATAAATTTATCGTTTTCTGATTTTTTTTAAGGTTTTCTAGCGTGTACCCTGTTCATTTTTGAAATGACTCTTTGTGCTGCAATAAATTGCACAAATTCTGGAGAGCAGGGATTTTTAATGAAACGCTTTCCTAGAGATCCACTCAGAAGACAAACTTGGCTTATTAATATGAAGAGAAGCTATTGGAAACCAACTGACTATTCCTGTTTATGTGAAGTAAAACTAACTAGAACTTTTTAAACATTTTTTTTGTTGTTGAATTTTTCACTTGTGTTCAACTGTCTTGAGGGCACACCATGTCTTGTTTTTAGATACTAAAACTGATTTTTATTTAAGGTTCATTTTGCTCCTGAAATGTGGGAAAAGCCTCATGTAGATGGCAAAAGAAAGTTAAAGTCCAGTGCTATTCCAATTTTTTCTTTTGTAAAAGGGGAAACTATCAGGAAATCTCCAGTTGAAGGAAAGCCTCTTTCTCCAGAAGAGCCTGAACTTTCATCTGGCAATAACATTGCATGCGTAGTCGGTAACTACCTACCTACAATAAGTTTTTGATAATTTTCTTCTAAATATTTATTTATAAAAAATAAGGATTTTAGTCGGTTTTTTACAGATGAAGCCTTAGTTCCATTACCTTATGTAGAAGGCCTATCTACATCAAGTGCAGATTTGGGAGGTAATTTACCAGCAACACAGAACTCATCCTCATTTTTATCGAACGAAAAGAATAGGGCTCCAGTTCCATCATGATTGCTACCATAAGTTTTTAATACTTAGTTTTCTTCTTAATATTTATTTATTGAAAATAGGGTTTTTTACTTGTTTTTTTACAGATGAAGCTTTAGGTCTATCACCTCCTATAGAAGGCCCTCGAGAAGGCCTATCTACATCAAGTGCAGATTTGGAAGGTAACTTACCAGCAACTCAGAAGCAGTGGCGGCTCGTGGTGTCCAAGTAAGGGTGGGCGACAAAAATAAAAAACAGCCGTAGGCGATTTCTTTAAAGATTTCCAAGGTCGCGGCCTTTTCAAATACAGCAAAGTTGCCAAAACCATCACCAAAACCTTCTCCCACGACGCCATCCACTTCAATTAAAAGCATTTTTTATTTTTCCATTCATTTTCCAGCGTGGCGGTGCCCACCTTGCCCATATGAGCGAACCGCCACTGCTCAGAAGTCATCCCCATTTTTTTCGAGTAGAGAAAATAGGACTCCAAATTCACCATTAGGTATTACTCTAATAAGTTTTTGATAATTTTCTTCTTAATATTTCTTTATTAAAAATGTTTTTTACTCAGTTTTTTACAAATGAAGCTTTAGTTATATTACCTTTTGTAGAAGGTCTATCTACATCAAGTGTAGATTTGGAAGGTAATTTACCAGCAACTCAGAAGTCATCCTCAATTTTTTCAAATGAAGAAAATAGGGATCCAGTTTCATCATTATTGCTGGAAATAACCAAGGGCAAAGACATAATAACCGAACTGCAAGCAAAATTAAACAGATACGAGACATTGTATGTTAGGGAGAGAAACAAGGCCGTAAGATACAAAAAGCTTCTAAGGCAAGCAAGAAATAAATTGAAGGTAGTACAAAAAACAGCAGATTTTCCACAATGTGATGAATTGTTTAAGCGGTTATTCAACAATGATCAGATAACAGCCTTGAAAAAGAAAAAAAGGAAAAAAACTACAAAACTGATGAAGTGGACTAATGACACTGTGACAAAGTCTTTGAAACTAAAATTTAGTTGTGGTATATAACTCTATAATTAGAGGAAGGATGATGCACAGCTTGATGAGGTTTTCAAGCAGAATATGTTTACATTGTGTCCATGGATAAACTTTAGATACTTACTGGGAAAAAAAGTATTTTCAATTTTTTGAAAAAAAGTAGTTCTTCATAATTTCTTTTGCTTGTTATATAAATGTATTCATGTCGAAAAACTCTGTTTTTTTTTATACAGTGAGCACAAAATATAAAAATATGTAAATTCAAAATAAAAGAACTTCGGATGAGGGATAGAGAGGTTCATATAAAATAAATTTTACTGTATCACATTCCCATGTCTCAAGTTAGTTAAATAAATTAAGTAAGTATTTATTGTATGTATTGATTTTTTAACAGAGTTCAATTTTTCACCTATTATCGACACTTGAAATTTAGGATTGCCTCCAGCATCAACACAGTAAGACCTTTTCATGGACATACGGTTTTTTAAAGTTGTTTTTAATTTAAATATTGAGTAATTTTGGAAAAAACATCTTTTAATTTTGATTTCTGAGACAGAAGCACTTGGATTGGTTAAGTTTTTCAAGATTCTTGCAGATATTTTTGGATTTCTTCTCATAAACCCCTCGTACCAAACCAATGCCTTCGAGGTCTTCCGGCTTTAAAATGATGGGCTTTTTTCAACCACTTCACAAGCATTTCCACACTGTCTAGTTGATCCTTAATGACTGGAAATCCACAACCAGCCAGGGATAATATCCATTCAATCAATGCATTTTCATCTTGTTTACTGAGGACTGTTAATATTCCTATTTGCCTAGGAAAACTTTACGAGACCGAAATGCGGACATTTTTCCCGATTGCACTGCTTACTGCCTGATTCATCGCCTCTTCGAAGTATTGTGAGTGAGCTTTTGAAGCTGAAAGAATTATTTTAATTAATCCTATCATCGACATTAAAATGTACATAATCAAAATAAGAATTTTAATAACCACACTTTTTAAATGGTTTGTAAAATATGGTGTCGATAACTGTATTTACGAAAATTTTTACATAATATTATCTAGGGGCGTTTACCTTAAGCCGTTTTCAATTTTTTTTGCTGGCTGTTCATTTAAATTATTAAAAATCCTATAAATAATACTTAAAAATAACAAAAGGTTGGGAACAAGATGGCGGCGGGACCTCTATTGTCGCCACTGTATGTTATCTAGCCACTGTAATTTACAGACATGCCACTTTACATTTCAACTCAACAATAGTAAACAAACAATTTATTAACAAAAATAATGCTTAAGAATCTAAATTGTTTAAAAAATAAAAAAGTTTAATTATACTAACAACCTTACAAATAAACTTTAGCAAAATAAATTTGTGGTAGAATGACTTCTTAAACGTTTTGACTGTTCTGATCGGTGCATAGATCTGGCATGTAAAGTGCGTTTTTTTTTAAAGATAAAAGTCAAAATGACATTATGTTGGCAATACAATGTAAAATGGTCAATGCTTTCAAAATTGTTATGTAGAAAAGGCTTGTGTTAGTGGTGGAGAACTATCGATGGCACT